TTTCCTTGACTTATGATGATTAGCTGCTATTGAGCTAATTCGATATTATATTGAATGCGCAAATGTAAAACTTACAATGAAACATAATACAGCATAAGAAGTGACAAAAATCATTTTTGGGAGGTCGCTATATGCTGCGATGAGCATGTTAAGAACGGTACCAACAAGACCCGTTACAGAAACCTGAAAGAAAATTAGTCAGAATATGACAGTTATAGCCCCGGAACTACTACCCGCACGCCTAATATTGCAGGCTTTTTATTTACTGAGTTTGTGCAACTCCGTGCATTAATACACAGATGGCAACAAAGTCAAAAATTGAAGAAAAACCGGAAAAACTCCTCCGAAATGCATTTTATGGGACCCCGTGCTGAACCGTCTTGTGCGCTTGTTGATGCTAAATTTTCCTCCTTACCACCTCACTCTCACCATTTGAAATGGAGAGCTTTAGTAGTGTACCAACCGATCCAAGCAGTATCAGCTCAAAATGAATGCTGGGTGTTGTCGTGACCAGTAGTTCTCTCGCGAGCGGATTTTTCGACGCTTTCCTGACAAATTATTTAGCTGCGAAAGTAGTACATAATCCATGGAGACATGAGTTCCATGTCCAAAGAGGCATCTGCGCATCAAATAAATGCCTTTACCCACTCTCAGTTACTCCCTGCCAAACATTTTGGGCTCAAGGATTCCATAAAGCTCACTTTTGCTCACCTATGCATCCTGAGCCGGACGTCCTCAATGGAGACATTGTACATCACTCCTGGGTAGTATCATCCCATCCCTTGTCTAGTTTTTGTCAGAGCTGTTATGGATCCACTGCCCACTGTCACAGGCCACAGCAGACCATTCAACCAACAGTGCAGTTAGTTCACGCCCCCACGCCTTCCCTCAGCAAAGTGTGGAATTTGGCGAAGCTACCCACAGAAGAAGTACTCGAGAAATTGAAAAGAAGCCCGAGTGGTGAAAATCAACGCCGGATTTCAAATCAGGCGTCATAAGGAAAGTGCGCTGCTCAAATTTGACCTGCGCCGGACCAGTAGTTGTGTGTAATGGTGTTCTCGAAATACAAGGTGGAAGGTTTGGTTCAGGAGCCCGAAGAAGGAAGAAAGGAAAAAATTTGTTGTCGTGGATGGTCCCATAATGTTCATCCTGCACAAGAAAAAGAAGGCCGCCGCTGCTCGTCATAGTGCCAGACCTCGTGAACTGTATTGTAGGGCATGCCTGAGACACAGAACAATACTGCAAATTGGGGTCCAATCCCCATTTCGCGCAACATAAAGCCGTTCGTTTCCAACTGTTCTGGTCAGTCGAGAGTACTCTTCGACGGCAAACGCTACTACGTTTTGTCATTCGCCGGAATTGGCACCAGCTACAAGTTGCTCGCACTTGTTGAAAAAAACCAAGGTACCAGAGAAGTCCAAATAGTTTCGAGGCACTGGGAGCGGTTCATCGGTGAAGGAGTAATCTACTTAACCAGAGCCAAAACATTACTTTTTTAATCTACTTTCCTCTTCGCTTCATATACAATAAATCCTGCGCACTTTTGAATGGGATGACCCAATAGCTATAAGGGCCTTCCCGGAATTTCTATTCGATTATATGCTGGACGTCCTACCATAATTCAGATAAGTGATTCAGTGTGACTTTCTGCATCAGACCCACTGGCCCAGCCCAACGTGCGTTTGAGAATGCACAGTTCTCCCTTGTTTAGGGTCCACTGAGGAGTCAGAATTTGACTTTGTTCCTCCATGGATAGTGAGCCGCATGACACCTGAACAATGGTGCAGCATCGCTGGAAGGATCCCATCGGGGAGGGGCTCTGTATAGTCGCTGCAGAGTGGGAAGAGGTCGTTCTGGCAAGGGTGAGTCAGTACTGAGGACAAAGAAGGCAAGAGACCTTCCTGAACCGTTGGGTTGCATAGGCTCGCACAAGCCCCATTTGAAAGCTTCACTTCTCAGCCTTTTAGGGGTGGGGATCGAATGTAAGCTCGGTGCATTAGTGCGCCCCACGCAGTTTGTCACAAGTGTTAAATCTTCTATTATATATTGTGTTATTGGAACTTCCTGAAAAATAGAGGAAGCTTTCCGGCACTCACCAGGACGACTATGATGGCGACAGTAGCAATTGAAGAAACACATTTTTCATATTTAGACACCATAAATACTGCAACCGCACGTTCCACGCCAAGAGAAAAGATACCTATGTAGAATAATAAGCCGCCATAGCGTACAACTGGTTTCACTTCTTCGTAGAGATTCTGCAACTTCAAATATTTCTGAAGCCTGAACAGGTGTAAATACACCAGGTCACTTCCGAATTTTGCATTGTCAGAACAGTTGGTGAAGTGAAAAGTCTCCTAATGCTTTATTACTGAAAGATTCGCCAGCGGAACCCACGTACTCGGACGTTTCCGTTAGTTTCCCTCCAAATGTTCCTGCAAGTCTCCAATCAGGGCACATTCTGCCGTCGGGGTAACATTTTGTGAGATATCCCTCGAAAGTTTCTTCCTCTGGTAGGGGGTCCTTCCTTATCTCCACCCCCCCCACCTCCCCTTCCCTGCGAAGTGTCCTCTTCTGGTAGGGGCTCTTCCTCACCACAAAGGCGGGTACGACCTCGTTCCTACAGAAACCAAATCGACCCCTTCCGCAAGGGAACTTCATCCTACTGTTTGAACACAAACGACCCACTCTGAAAATACCCGGCACGTCAGGCTCAAATACAGTAGACCGCCTTGAATTTGAACACTTGATGAAAGGCTTCATCCTCACGCGACTGTGTGGCCGTGGTGAAGGGTTTTTTCTGCTTCAGAAGAACATCTAGAGGATACCGCTGCGATACTAACATTATTATTGGAGTGCTAAGAGCGAAGTGTGTGTCGTTTCAACCCCACCCTGTACGAACTGCAACTTTTGGCAGCCTTCATACTTCACGACAGCAGCGGCGATCTTGGCGATCGTAGCGATCGCCGCGATCGCCACGATCGCCACAGAGCGCGCCCCAACGCTATTACGTGGACCACTCCGAGTGCTTTTAGAAGACTCGACTGAATGTCATGTTTTTTTTTTAAGTCTCAGCGTCTAAAGTGCGGTCTGACACAAGGAAAGGTGGACCAACTTGATGGCTTTTTCCTATTTTCTTTTTTAATTCGGGATAGAATTGAGCGAGAAGCGTGGGAACTTCATTCAGAGTAAATTCTTGTTGCTTCTTTTTTCAGTTCCTTCTAGCTTTGAGATTACAACGTTTTCTCCTGTTGATATTGCATGATAAGATTAAGTGTTTTAGTTTCTAGATGAGTTTCTTTCTTGGTTTTTTTTTTTCGTTGCTGTTGAACTCAACTTATAAACTAAACATGTTTTGGAAGGTGGAGCAATCCAGACAATAGGAAACTCTTAAAACGCTTATAATATTTGAACGGACAAAAGAAGCAAAAAGAAAGCTCCCCTAGGATGGAGTTGACCCCTTTCCCCCGATCTAAAAAAGCTTCGAACGTTGCAGCACCTCATATTCCAGACCATTTTATGTTCAAAAAGTCCTAAGTTTTCGGTTAGTAGCCATTATTAAGAGAAAAAAGGTCCCACAAGTTGCATTTCCTTATTTATCGAGCGAGCGGTCCGAGTAATAACGTTGGGACGCGCTTTGCCACGTTTTAACGATCGCCGCGATCGCCGCTGCCGTCGCGAAGTATGAATGCTATCTTAGTGATACCAGTGCAACGAGTAATTCCCGGAAAGTTGTTGAATGGGAAGAATAGGTGAGAAAACTAACCGTAACGTCGTATTTCAATAGTTCCCCCACTAAAATAATGAACGAAAACACTTCTGCTAACTGAAGACCAGCAGTTGCCATTAGTGTGATTGTCCTGAAAATGTTATCGAGTTGCTTGGAAGCACAGCATACTTGTTCTATGTTGGCATAGTACCTGCCATGCGCTGAGGATTCGGGCACAGTTAGTGAAGGCAAAATGGTGCACAGCCAGGTTACTACAGAGGTAAAGAAAGGTTAAAGATTCATCATCTCTGCGGTCCTCTTCAATCCTAACATAAGAGCCCTATCGTTGGACAAAATACAAGATAACATCAAGGAAAAGCCTTCATAACTCTGCTTCCCCCACTCAATGCTTGGAAGATATTGAAAGCGGATTTGAGACTGTCTGGAAACTGGAATGGTGGTGTGGTGCTTATCACAAACCAGTCGGATCGGCCGGCTTCGCCGGCCGACCCCTTAGTGATGAGGAATCGCAGAATTAAGTATTGCCGACGGTACCAACCATTTGGTACACTGTCTAGGGTTATCCCTCACTAACTTCATCTGAGAAACCACTGCTCAGTTTCACCTTACTCCCCATTTTGTGTGGTTTTTCGTATGCGTTTTGAGGATTTTTGCCCTCGGCACCGTTCACTTTGGCGTACGCCCCGCCCGTCAGGGGTGTGCTTCATTTATTTCGACCGCCAACAGATTGCCTATCGTTTGCCACTTTTTCCGCTCTCGGGGCTCTTTTGGAACCGAACTGCGAATTTTTGAAAGTTTCGTAGCAAGCACCGCCCACCTATAGAACGCCCCGCCCAAAGTGGGTTTGTCTCACTCATTTCGTCCGCCAACCGATTGCCTATCGTTTGCCACTTTGGGGCTCTTTTGGAACCAAACTACGAATTTTTGAAG